AAGAATGGCGATACTCACTGACGATGCCGACTACGATGCCAGCGAAACGTTTGGGAATGTACCACGTCCATGGTTCAATTTTGGAAATGATCATGCAGACAATGGACCCCGGACTAGATGCGTTCCAAAAAGTCTTCCTACCAATATGACCATGTTGCGAAAACAAGTTTAAACAACCAATTTATAGTGTTAGTTCGACCTTGTTTTCTCAACTTAGTCGGAGCGTCAGGGAGACCTTGTGGAACTACGTAGTCCCGTGTCCTCTGCTATAGTATTCGTGATTTCCAGCATTGGACCATTGGCTGGGTACATTTCAAAACGTGTCGCCTGCATCGTAGTCCACCTAATTTATATCGAAGCTGTCCTTGTGTTGTGTTTCTCTGAGCCTGCATTTCCAGTACCCAAATCTAAGTGATGTTGGTGTTGCCTTATCCCTCAGGATGAGAATGTTATATTCACAATAATGAGTCAAGTTATAAATACCTATTGCATCATCCGTAGTACAAATCAACTTGTCTATCCACCTTAAAGATTCGTCTGAACTTATATTCATTTTTTATATGAAACACAGGTGTCTGAGAGCTAATAAATATGGTGATTTCAAGCAGCATTTAGTATATAATCCAAATAGTTTTGAGGCAAGTAGCCTTGATAAACACTGTCATTAAAGTATAGGAATCCTAAATTTCGACATTATAAGTACTCTGTTCAGGTTAACGTGAATGGAATGGATATATTTAAAGATTAAAAAAAGGTATGAAGACCAAGATGATGTGGGTTTTTATTATAGTCGCTGTTTTCTTTATTTGTATAGACGTTGTTTTACCTTGTTTTCGCAACTATTATTTTGGTAGGAAAAGTTAGATGAACACCCTTAGTCCGGAACCCATAGTATGCATGCTTTTTTATAGCATCGGACTGTGGACGTGGTACATTCCCAGAAGTTTCGCCGGCATCGTCAGTGAGCCTTGCTAGTCTTAGTACCATTCTAGAATTCGTCAAAGAAACAAAAGAAGCCGATCCTTTGACCGATTCTCTGCCAAACAATCGTGGTATCTCTTCTACAGCCCTGGGCTAATCACCAATCCTATATCCTCGTTTCAGCCCTTCACTATCACTATTTTTTACTTGTTTATTTAACTATGATATGCTGTACCCTTTTGAGCGGATTTTATGAGAACTCTTCACACTCCACGCTGGCTTTCTCACTTCCTCACTCCCCTTTACCCTTGTGCTGGGAATGTTGATCAGAGTCTGCCATATTGTTACGCAGTCCTCCTTCCCTAGGTCTTATCATAATCTCCTTGTCCCGTAGGATCCGCCTCCTACCGTCCTGGTTCAGATAATTCACTTGACCCCTACCACCTTATCTGCTGGTTGGCTAGCTGTAGAAGTGTTATATGACGAAAAAGGCTTGACAATGAGAATTACTCGGGCTCTTTAGCCTCGAGCTAGTCTCCTATCCAGCTTGAGAGTCGTGATTTGTAGGGGCCTATTTAGTGAGGCGGGAGTAGGCGTGTCATCAAAGGATTGAGACAGTGTGGAAAATAGCGCTTCGAGTAGTAGAGATAGGGTTGCAAGGGTCGAGTGAAGGAAGATATAAGACTGATCCTGCGAGGAAAGAGGGAGAATCTGATAAGACCTATGGGAAGAGGACTTCTGAATAATATGGCAGACGCTGATCGACATCCCTCTCACAATGGTGAAGTAGGGTGAGGGAGTTAGAAAGCCAGCGTGTGGTATGCAGAGTTTTCATGACATCCGCTCAAAAGTGCATTTCTTACCACAATTAAATAAGCAATCAACAATTATGATAATTAAAGTGTGATACGAGGATATAGGATTGGTGAATATCCCATGGTAGGAGAGATACCACAATTGTTTAGCCGACAATTGGCCAAAGGATCTGTTTTACTTGTCTTTTTGATGAGTTGTAGTGTAGTCCTAAGAATGCCAAGGCTAACTGACGATTCCGACTACGATGCTGGCGAAGCGTCTGGGAATCATCCACGCCCACGTTTCGACTCTGGAAATTATCATGGATACTATGGGCTCCGGACTAGGTGTGTCCCTCTTGGTCGTCCTACCCATATGACCAAGTTGTGTAAACAAGGTCAAGCAATTTCTTTGGATAATAAACTTTAATGAATTTTTGCTATCTCAGGTTTAATAACTGGTTTCATATATAAATGAATAAATAAATATATATGTACCTATGTTTACGTAACCATTTATTAATTTCTTATTAATGCCAAATATATATAAAGGTAATTGGACATTAAATTCAGTATCGATTTAATTGAAGATAATATACGATTATAATGTTTTATTAGCTCTCCTTTGCCTATTATTTATCACCAATAGCGTCACTTCTTGCTGCACTCTTTTAGCTCGTTTTGAATTATCATTCAAGCATAAACACTCTACGTTGTTTCATAAGTGAATATATTGCAAAAGTTAACCGTGCATTTTTCTTCAAGGATCAAGCTTTTGGTACTTAGCACTCTTATACGGGTTAAATTTACTAACCTAATCGTGTAAAGGGTTTTCAAGAGGGCAACTTTTCCCCAGGTTCTACCGATGCAAGGCACTAATAAATCCTGTATATATGCCTGATTTCTGTGCTAACGATTCATGGACTCGTTATTGGGCGATAAGACATAGGTTTGTATAAATGCCACACTTATCTACCCTTTGCAAAGCCACATTTATATTAGCATTGCAAACCTTAGGCTGGCCGTTTAAATATCTGGTATGCCTCTAAGAGAAGTATTTTTGGAAATTCGTGAAAGTATCTAAGCTGATTGAACAGTCAGCACAACATTTTAAGCACTCCTCTTTCTAACAAGAGGTCGTTCTATTCCATTCAGGAAGTGAAAAATAGGGATACTCGATCACTCAGATTAAAATGTCATTGTCTGTCAAGAATTTTGGTGAAGTCTCCCCTAGTGTGACCTCATATCTTGCAAATTGGCATTACATAAAGCATGTTTCATTGGTTTACACACTCTTGGCTTAAGCTAAACCCATGAACTTATCACATTTCATCCAACTAGATTTAAAGTAAAACAGTCATGAAATTTGCTATTCTACTTTTCTTCTGATTTTAGAAAGTTGTTAGAAGGTATTCATAATCTGGTCTCCCATTAATTAAAATAAAAATAACCTTGACATTGTGTCGGCTGAATTTTTCTCAGAAGTTCTTGGTATATCGTACTCCGATTCTGTTTAATCCATGCAGAATTTTTTTCGGTCATGGGACACGCAACGTCAAACCGTGAAACTATCTTTCGAGAGTGTTTCCTAAAAAACTCAGCCCGTCCTCCTTGCCTTAGTGCTTTTTGAAGTTTTATTATAGAATGGTTTCACACATTAACGATGTCTGTCACCTGATAGACGTAAGTTTAGCCTGGACTCATTGAGATCTCAGGTCAGTCAGCCGATGACCTCTAATGTCAAACCAACATTCGCACTACTAATGCAATTTTCATCTGGCTTCCACTAGGACCAACTTACAACTCATCTCTACCTACCTTTTCAATCGGAATTAAAATTATTAAGGGATTTTTAGAGATTCAGTTTCTATATATTTCTACGGGCCATGAGACTGTCAGCCTTTCTTTTTGAGCGTTGATTAACTTTGATTTGGTCGTTTTTTCTTTCAGTCGCTAGCTTCTAGTCAATGAAGGCAAAGCTGTGAGCTTATAACGTAAGTGAATTGGCTTTGCTGATCCTCTTGATGCTACTCTTCTTTTATTTACTGACACTGAGCCAGACAGCATCACTCTTAGTTCGCTCAGTTATTCCCATGTATAGATGTATTATGGTACGTGTTGTGAGACTCCCTGTCTGCTTCTACTTTCACGACTTGTCTCCTATTCATTTGTCTCATATTTTACCCAAAAGTTCCATCTTAAACAGTTCGTTTTCCAATCAAGGTATCCTATCATTGCGAGCTTTTATGTTCATCAATCTCACGGTCCTCCAGTGTCTTATAACTCGGAACATTCTTGTTGTTGCTTGAATCAAGATTTAGTTGTTCATTGAATTATTCTGGCTAATAAGCAATGTCCATAATTTCGGTACTTTTTCAGATTGACTATTTTGATTTGTTTTTTTTAGCCTTTTGGTCATCTTTGCTTATTCACCTCCACTCCATTTACATCGTTCACGTCACACGTCAGCATGTAAATGTAAATGAGTATGGGGCAGATTAATTTGATTCTGTTGAGTCTGGTAAGATTAGTATTAGTAAAATTAAAATTGATTATAGAGTCTTTCAACATATTTCACTAGTCTGACAATCACATTTGGCTATGCCTGTCATCTAAGTAAAGGCTCATTAGCCTTTGCCGTTAACCCCAACCAAAGTAAATGATGTGCTTCATTAATAGCCAGCTGTAGCCGTCTGAATGTTTAATAACTGCTAGAAGATGGTTGGTGGGTCTAGACTCAGTGCTCATTGGCTCACTTATAAATTATGAATCACATCGGCAAGCCCTCCAAGCCTTCCAGAATCGGTTAAATCTGCCAGCTTCATGCTCTGACGCATACGCATGCAAGAGTAGTGATACGGAAAATATAAGCCCTCGTCTTAAATAAGACTAATGAGAGGGATGAGTTCGGAGGATAGCAGAGATGGAAATAGTGGATAAACTGGATAAGTGGAAACGGAGTAGAAAGTCGTTAGGAGGCCGTCAGAAGAACTGGCACTGAAGTATCTTGAAAAAGGAAGAAAATATCTCAAAGGACAACATTGCTATCGCATTTCAGTGGCTGTAGAATAATGAGTCCGAACGATCACCATCAGGCGGCATTCCACGTAGTTTGGCTCACTTTTGTCTCTTGTTGCATACCAGCGAGTGATCGCACTGCAAAATCTCAATTGCCACTGCCACTCCTTTCACTAAACCTATTCTCGACTATCCTTCCGGCATGCATATTTTGTTTACATGGGCTAATGTCTGAGGCCGAACGGGACGGACACCTCCTGGGCTGGGCTTTTGTTCGCAGGGCAAGAATTAGCCACGATAAATGTCATTTTCGTATCTTATTTCCGTCCATCTCCTTCAGTGCCTAGTCCCCCTCAGCCGTTTTCTCTAGGTCCAATGCCTTCGCCTTCCCTTTCGCGTGCATTCTTCCGCTCGTCCAGCTGGAAGAGGCAAGAGAATGGCTGACCGTCTCTTCTATAAGGCGGAAGCCTGATCTATCATTCGACCCTGCCTCGGCTCACTCTCTGCGTCCCAAGCGCACAATCCAGCCACACAAGCCACTTGGCATCATCTTTGCCTTCTTCCGCCTTCTTGCCGGTTTGCAACTCTCGGCCAGATTGCTGTCAGTACCACTGCACTAGCAATCGTCATAACTTCGGCCGCAAACCCCATGGGCAATGGCGTGCACACACACACACACACACTCTCTATATATCTCTCTCTCATACGCACACATACAACCACACGCACAAATATATACATGAATGCGACATATAAACTGACTGATGCGGATACTACAAGAACGCACAGACTTATGCAATAGGCCCCCTCCCCTCCAAGACATGCTCCTGCATCACCTTCATCCGTTGTGCCTTGCAACTTCGACTAGTCTACTCTTTCTACTTCTGTTCATATTGCAAGGACGCGTCCATTTTGATAATGACCACCAGTCAGCGCGGCTTATGTTTGCATTGATCCCGGCAAGCAACCCCTGAAATGCCCTGTCGGGGCGCATATCATTTTGGCACGTCCTTTTCGATTAGTCGCGAGCAGGCTGGTACAGCTTGAGGGCCAGGGTTTACATGTCGTGCGAGCCCAGGCAGTTGGCATGGCGGAGCAGGCCTGGCTGGTTGCTTGGCTAACTGGTTTGCCATCCTGCAGCTTGGCCAAAGCCAACCAAATCGACACTTCCACAGCCGTACAGATTTGTTGGCTGAGGCTGTTTGACGAAAGATGTACACGATATGGAGGGTGGGCTCTTCATCCTAATTGATTTTGCTAGCCTATCCCCTGAACCCTTTTGCAATGATTCACCACATTAGCCATGATATATAGCGACCACCTGGGCCAATCCATCTCCACTTATGACCGAGATAGGACCTGTATTTTTTTATCTTAAAACAGGCTGAATAGCATGT